ATCACACTGAATGCTAAAGAGCTTCAACATAATGAAGAATCTACAACAACTAACAGGCAAAACAGCCACTTAGCATCAAAATGGCTGTATCAAATTCACACATAACAATATTAACCCTAAATGTAAATGGACTAAATGCACCAATCAAAAGACACAGACTGGCAAATTGGATAAAAATCCAAAACCCATCAGTGTGCTGTATCCAGGAAACCCATCTCACATGCAAGGATACACAAAGGCTCAAAATAAAGGGATGGAGGAAGATTTACCAAGCTAATGGAAAGCAAAAAAAAGCAGGAGTTGCAATTCTCATCTCTGATAAAATAGACTTTAAAGCAACAAAGATCAAAAGAGACAAAGAAGGCCATTACATAATGGTAAAAGGATCAATACAACAAGAAGAGCTAATGATCCTAAACATATATGGACCCAATGCAGGAGCACCCAGATACATAAGGCAAGTTCTTAATGACTTACAAAAGGACTTAGACTCCCACACAATAGTGGGAGACTTTAACACTCCACTGTCAATACTAGACAGATCAACCAGACAGAAAATCAACAAGGATATCCAGGGCTTGAACTCAGACCTGGAGCAAGCAAACCTGATAGACATTTACAGAACTCTCCACCCCAAATCCACAGAATACACATTCTTCTCAGCACCACATCACACCTACTCTAAAATTGACCACATAATTGGAAGTAAAGCACTGCTCAACAAATGCAAAACAACTGAAATCATAACAAACAGCCTCTCAGACCATAGTGCAATCAAGTTAGAACTCAGAATTCAGAAACCGACCCAGAACCGCACAGCTTCATGGAAACTAAACAACTGGCTCTTGAATGTTGACTGGGTAAACAACGAAATGAAGGCAGAAATAAAGAAGTTCTTCGAAACCAATGAGAACGAAGACACAACGTGCCAGAACCTCTAGGACACATTTAAAGCAGTCTCTAGAGGAAAGTATATAGCAATAAGTGCCCATATGAGGAGAATGGAGAGATCCAAAATTGACACCCTATCGTCAAAACTGAAAGAGCTAGAGGAGCAAGATCAAAAAAACTCAAAACCCAGCAGAAGACAAGAAATAACTAAGATCAGAGCTGAGCTGAAGGAGATTGAGACACGAAAAACCCTTCAAAAAATCAATAAATCCAAGAGCTGGTTTTTTGAAAAGATCAACAAAATAGACAGACCACTAGCCAGATTGATTAAAAAGAAAAGAGAGAACAACCAAATAGATGCAATAAAAAATGATAAAGGGGAACTCACCACAGATTCCACAGAAATTCAAACCATCATCAGAGAATATTACAAACAACTATATGCGCATAAACTAGTAAACCTGGAAGAAATGGATAAATTCCTGGACTCCTGTGTCCTCCCAAGCCTAAACCAGGAGGAAGCTGAAACTATGAATAGACCAATAACAAGGTCTGAAGTTGAGGCAGCAATTAAGAGCCTACCACACAAAAAAAGCCCAGGTCCAGACGGGTTCACAGCCGAATTCTACCAGACACACAAGGAGGAGCTGGTACCATTCCTTCTAAAACTATTTCAAACAATCCAAAAAGAGGGAATCCTTCCCAAATCATTTTATGAGACCAACATCATCCTGATACCAAAACCCGGCAGAGACCCAACGAGAAAAGAAAACTTCAGGCCAATATCCATGATGAACATAGATGCAAAAATCTTCAATAAAATATTGGCAAGCCGATTGCAACAGCAAATCAAAAAACTTATTCATCATGATCAAGCAGGATTCATCCCAGGGATGCAAGGCTGGTTCAACGTACGCAAGTCTATAAACGTAATTCACCACATAAACAGAACCAAAAACAAAAACCACATGATTATCTCAATTGGCGCAGAGAAGGCATTTGACAAAATTCAACAGCCCTTTATGCTAAAAACCCTCAATAAACTCGGTATTGATGGAATGTATCTCAAAGTAATAAAAGCTATTTATGACAAACCTACAGCCAATATCATACTGAATGGGCAAAAACTGGAAGCATTCCCTTTCAAATCTGGCACTAGACAAGGATGCCCTCTGTCACCACTCCTATTCAATATAGTACTGGAAGTTCTAGCCAGAGCAATCAGGCAAGAAAAAGAAATAAAGGGTATTCAAGTAGGAAAGGTGGAAGCCAAATTGTCTCTATTTGCAGACGACATGATAGTATACCTAGAAGACCCCATTGCCTCAGCCCAAAAACTCCTGAAACTGATAAGCAACTTCAGCAAAGTCTCAGGATATAAAATCAATGTGCAAAAATCACAAGCATTCGTCTACACCAATAACAGACTTAAAGAAAGCCAAATCAAGAGCGAACTGCCATTCGCAATTGCTACAAAAAGAATAAAATACCTTGGAATACAACTCACAAGGAACGTAAGGGACCTCTTCAAGGAGAACTACAAACCACTGCTCAATGAAATCAGAGAGGACACAAACAGATGGAGAAACATTCCATGTTCATGGTTAGGAAGAATTAACATCGTGAAAATGGCTATACTGCCCAAAGTAATTTACAGAATCAACGCTATCCCCATCAAGCTACCATTGACTTTCTTCACAGAACTGGAAAAAACCACCATGAACTTCATATGGAACCAAAAGAGAGCCGCATAGCCAAGTCAATTCTAAGCAAAAAGAACACAGCGGGGGGCATCACACTACCGGATTTCAAACTATACTACAAGGCTACAGTAATCAAAACAGCATGGTACTGGTACCAAAACAGAGATATAGACCAATGGAACAAAACAGAGGCACCGGAGGCAACACAACATACATACAACTATACAATCTTTGATAAACCCGACAAAACCAAGCAATGGGGAAAGGATTCTATGTTTAACAAATGGTGTTGGGAAAACTGGCTAGCCATGCGCAGAAAGCAGAAACCGGACCCCTTCCTGACACCTTACACTAAAATTAACTCCAGATGGATTAAAGACTTAAACATAAGACCTGGCACCATAAAAACCCTAGAAGGAAATCTAGGCAAAACCATCCAGGACATAGGAGTAGGCAAGGACTTCATGAACAAAACACCAAAAGCATTGGCAACAAAAGCCAAAATAGACAAATGGGACCTAATGAAACTCCACAGCTTCTGCACGGCAAAAGAAACAGTCACTAGAGTGGATCGGCAACCAACAGAATGGGAAAAAATTTTTGCAGTCTACCCATCTGACAAAGGGCTGATATCCAGAATTTACAAAGAACTCAAACAGATTTACAGGAAAAAAACAAACAAGCCCATTCAAAAGTGGGCAAAGGATATGAACAGATACTTTACGAAAGAAGACATATATGAGGCCAACAATCATATGAAAAAATGCTCATCATCACTGGTCATCAGAGAGATGCAAATCAAAACCACATTGAGATACCATCTCACGCCAGTTAGAATGGCGATCATTAAAAAATCTGGAGACAACAGATGCTGGAGAGGATGTGGAGAAAAAGGAACACTTTTACACTGTTGGTGGGAGTGTAAGTTAGTTCAACCATTGTGGAAGACAGTGTGGCGATTCCTCAAGGCCTTAGAAATAGAAATTCCATTTGACCCAGCAATCCCATTACTGGGTATATATCCAAAAGACTATAAATCGTTCTACTATAAGGACACATGTACACGAATGTTAATTGCAGCACTGTTTACAATAGCAAAGACCTGGAATCAACCCAAATGCCCATTGATAATAGACTGGATTGGAAAAATGTGGCACATATACACCATGGAATATTATGCAGCAATCAGAAATGATGAGTTCGTGTCGTTTGTAGGGACATGGATGAATCTGGAGAACATCATCCTCAGCAAACTGACACAAGAACAGAAAATGAAACACCGCATATTCTCACTCATAGGTGGGTGATGAAAAATGAGAACACATGGACACAGAAAGGGGAGTACTAAACAGTGGGGTCTATTGGGGGGAAAAGTGGAGGGCCAGTGGGAGGGGGAGGTGGGGAGGGATAGCCTGGGGAGAAATGCCAAATGTGGGTGAAGGGGAGAAGAAAAGCAAAGCACACTGCCATGTGTGTACCTACGCAACTGTCTTGCATGCTCTGCTCATGTACCCCAAAACCTATAATCCAATAAAAAATTAAAAAGACTAATAGGTTATAAAGTTTTCATTACAATAATAAAGACTATGAACCTAACCCTTTAGGTCTCAGTGTTCACTAATTTTCAAAGAAGAAAGGCATATCAGAATCCTTAGGACTAGAAACCTTTGAAAGTAATTTTCTTATAGTATACATACCAGAATTACTGCTCTAAACAATGGCAAGACACCGTGTTTCAGTAATGAGTATCATGATGCAAGCAATATTGAAGAAAACCACATGTAAAGACCTACAGGAAGGACTGGCACAATAAAAAGGCCAGGAGGCACTGCATAATTCAAGGACATAGATTTAATAGTTAGAAAGACCTGGGTTCAATTCCCAGCCATAGCTATTTATTGGTCATGTGACTTTGAGCAAATTATAAACTATAGCTAAATTTATTCATAAAATGAGGATAATAATATCACCCATCTCAAAGGGCTGTGATGAGAATAAAATAAACAAAACAGATATAAATAACATTAAAATAAATATAAGAGTTTTGTTCTATGATTGTTTATAACAGTAATGACAATAATCATTATCATCTATCATACCAACTGAACAAATAGCAGTTAGGACATGAATCATAAAGTTCAACCATTTAAAAAGCTGCAAGTCTAATTCAAACTGATTTTTTTTAAAATGCCAACATTAAAAATAAATAAACACTACAAATTTATGTGGGGAAATAATCTCAAAAGTTGCAAATATTACTGACCACAAATCAATTTACAGATTCAATGAACACTGAGCCTGTCCCACGTAAAACGTGCTGGAGATACAATATATAGCAGGAGATACAATAATGAGTAGACCTTAATTTCTTTTATAAGTTAGAACAAAGGGCAAATTACAGATTACCTGACTAACTCGATTTACTTCCTCCTCTTCTTCCTCAGCTTCCTCTCCAAATGAAAGTAAACTAAAATTTCTAGTCCAAAAAAAAAGAATGAAAGAAAAAAACAGACAGAAAAAGTTAAATCAAACATATTATTTTCAGAGCAAGAGAATAGAATTTATAAGAATAAACACATTCTATTTTTTTTAAAAAACTATATTACTTAGTATTCACCAGAAGTATTCTAACAATCTTTATTTTCAGTATGATGTTAAGGCTTTTGCCTCACAGCACCAATGTTTCCTATATTATACTAACTTTTTATGACCAAAAATCCCTCCTGGGCACTATCATTAAATGTGCTAAGTTAAGCATGACAGAAATAGTTAAGCTTTTTATATTTATCAAAACTGGAAGCAAAATGGAGATTTCTGCAAAACTAATAAGTATATATCCCTGAGTGCTACAAATGGGAAGCAATTAATCTAGTATTTGGTAAAATATGTTTTAATATTTTAAAATAAATAATGTATACAAAATTGTCAGACAGAAAAAATATAAGCAATAAACAACTAAAATAGCCCACGAAGAGAAAAAGCTAGGTTTGTCTCCTCCAATTCATCAAATGAAAGAAATCTCAAGTAAGATAAACAGTAAGTTACTAAAACTCTCTCTCAAATAGAAAAATTAAAGATGTGGCAGCAAAACAGATTTTTTGTTTCCCCAAAACCTAGAAGCAAGCAATAACCAACATATCATCCCCAACATATTTGCTGGAAACAAAAAGCAAACACACACAAAAATTGACTTTAGAGTTTATCGTTAAGATAAATCACAGTGACGACATACTGTATAAAACTATAGTGACAGTAACCTTTCATCCAGAGATAGGTTAGTCAAAATAAGCTGATCAAAGAATTTTAAAAAATCAAATAAATAATTCCAATAAGCAGTTATTTTGCCACAAAATATTCCAATAAGTTATTTTGCTTATTAAAATGTCTGGCTCATAGCTAACAGTTTATAAAACAACTTAACTCTATATTTGTAGGATGTCAAGGAAAAAGACCAATAGGTATTGAATGCCTATACTACTGGATGTTTCTACATACCTCTTCTCATTTAATCCTCATAACAACCAGGTGTTGTACTTATTCTAATCTCCATTTTACAGGAAGAGGTAACTGAAGCTTAGAAAGTTTAATCAACTGTGCTTTTTATTAACTAGGTTTGGCAGGATTATATCTAGAATTGATCAAATTAAACAATTATAGGTACAATAAAATCCCTAATAAGGATCCTACAATTCAGTAAAAGAATATGTTGAAATCTAACTCTGCAGTATATACAGACAATGTTAATAATGTAGAGTATTATCACAAAATACTGAAATTTATTTTTTTATTCCTACTTTTTGGAAAATTATCTTCAGGAAATAAACCAGGACACTGAATGAAACAGCTTAATATTTTCAAATATTTATAATAAGATTATTTTTAGTAGCACCAAAAAGAAGTGAAAAATAAAAGTTAAATTGCATAAGGGAATCATGTAGTCATTAAAAATATTCTTTATACTTTTTCTATGTATACTGAGTGAGCATATATTAATTTTAAAATAAGAAGCAACAAACAAAAGTTTCTCAACAACTCATTTATATAAATAATTGTTATAGGGATCATAAAATATGTATCTATTAATACAGATTTCATATGAACAACTGAGATGATATGTTCGTAGCTTAAGATATATTGCACCTGAATACAAGAGTTGCTCATTTAGAAAACAACAACAAAATACCACTAATATGGTTTGACTCTGTGTCCCCACCCAAATCTTATCTTGAGTAATTCCCATAACCTCCCCACATGTTGAGGGAGGAACCCTGCTGGGAGGTGACTGGATTATGGGGAAAGTTTCCCCAAAGCCATTCTCATGATACTGAGTGAGTTCTCATTAGATCTGATGGTTTTGTAAGTGTTTGACAGTTCCTCCTTCACACTTGCTCTCTCCTGCTTTCTTGTGAAGAAGATGCCCACTTCACCTTCCATCATGATTGAAGTTTCCTGAGGCCCCCCCAGCCATACAGAACTGTGAGTCAATTAAACTTCTTTTCTTTCTAAATTACCCAGTCTCAGGTATATCTTCATAGTAGTGTGAAAACAGGCTAATACAACCACACACTCATAATGCCAATATCTCTCAGTCTCAGGTATGTCTCTATAGCAATGTGAAAATGAACTAATACAAACACACACTTATAATTCCAATATTTCTCTCGTTCAAACTGGCCTCTCCTTTGCTAATAAACAATTACTATAAAAGGAAATAAAGTAAACCAAATGAATAAGTGTCATTTTTCAAGCTGCAGAAAAATCTCTCCACTGTGCTTACTTTGTGCCTTTGGGTTTCAATTTCTTTACTTCCTCCTCCGGTTTCTCTTTTTTTGACCTTTTAATTTCCCTTGGAATAATGTCATCAAAAGGATTAAACAAGACCTATGAAAAGAAATATTTTGAAAACATTATTAAATTTTAAACATTTCACAAAAAATTAAACACAATATGTAATTGCATTGGTATAGTGTCCATATTTTTCCCCACATAAATATTATTTGCATAGTGATATGTATATACTATACAACACGCCTCCACTTACATGGCCTCATTGGATTCTCTCAATAATCCTATGTGCAATTAAGGGATATTTTATCCTTATTTTACAAAAGGAAAAAATATGAGAAATTGTACATGATACATAGTAAGTAAGACCAACCCAGGTGCTTTGATTTCAAGTCAAGTATTCTTGCTTCCTCAATAAAGGATCACTCTTTTTCTTTTATCTTTGAAACAGAGTCTCATTCTGTTGCCAGCCTGGAAGGCTGTAGTGTGACCTCGGCTCACTGCAACCTCAGCCTCCCGGGTTCAAGCGATTTTTCTGCCTCATCCTGCCAAGAAGCCGGGACTACAGTTGCATGCCACCACCCCTGGCTAATTTTTTGTATTTTTAGTAGACACGGGGTTTCATCATGTTAGCCAGGATGATCTTGATCTCCTGAACTTGTGATCTGCCCGCCCTGGCCTCCCAAAGTGCTGGGATTACAGGTATGAGTCACTGCGTCCATTGGATCACTCTTAAATTACCTATGAAGTCACTTCTTTGGGCTAAATAAATGGAATTCCTTTAACTTTGTATTATGAGGTAAGCTTTTCAGTCACTGGATTATCAGATGAAGTTTCATCTTTGAATTAAAAACTTTGAATTAAAAAAATTCTTAACTAGAAATTGTGCCCAAATAAATTAGAGATAAAATCTGAGTTGTGATGTTAACTTAGTATAAAGCCTTCATCCAATAGTTTAAAAATACTAAGATTCAATTCCTCTTAAATGACAATTTAAGTGCCATATCTCATAATAATCATGCTCCTACCTCACAGCTTTTTATTTTGTGTGGATTATGTGGTCTTTCTTCATCATCAATGTCTACTTCGGACAGTCGCAACATGTTATATACTGTATCCCCTGTAACCTATCAAATTAATAATATAATATAATTGAAAATTATCACATTCATCCTTTGAATTAAGAAAAAAAACCTTTGAAAATATTTTTCAAATAATTAAAAGGTAATTTCATATGATTACATAAAAATATATGCATTTAATAATGCAAATAAAGCAACTTTATCTTAAAAGAGAAAACATGGATGGAATTCAATCCCTCAGTAAGTTTTCAGGAAATTTCCAATATATATTTAAGTTTTTATTAAAAATATAATGCCAAATAATATCCTACTGGATGACAACTTTTCATTCAAACATCATAAACAAAATTAAACTTCGGAATAGAATAAAATAAGCAAATAATGACAACAATAATGTGGTAAATGCTTTACAGACATTACCTCATTTAATCTCACAAACATCCTAAAAGTAGAAACTATCATTATCCTTCTACAGATAAGAAAAATGAGGCTCAAAGAAACTATAAAACCAACAGTGATGGTCTTTCTAACTTCTAACTATGCTATACATTGTCTCTGACATGTTAGTTATACAATCCCAATTGTAAAAATTGACACAGAATTACAACTTAAATTTCATTTTATTATATACTCTTATTTTTAAGAAATAAATAGAAGGAATTGATAAACATCAGACAGGCTCTGTTGGAGTGGCTCAAAAGAATGTGTCAAAGAATATTTCCGAACCCATTGGTTAATGTATTAACCAAGAATATTGCAATTCACGGTTTTAGTGTGATTCCTTTCATTCAGTGTTTCTAAAGACTTTTAAAACAACACCAGCTTTCCAATTGTACTGAGTTTGGTTTTTCCCTTTCATCATCACAACATCCAGTTTTGCCTGGCATATGGGGGAAATCATTCTTACTGAACCAGCAGGGGGAGCTGATACACTTGTGATGTCTAATATGCCTAAGAATTAAAACATATAGAAACATATTTATGAGAAGGGAGAAGAGTGAGAGAAGAAAACCTTCAGAATCCCTTTTTGAAGAGAATTGTTGAAAATTCTATAGAAAGGATGTTCCCCAATATGACATTAAATGTGAGCAGGGTTAAACAGGTACTATTCAAAGTAATATTTACAGTAAGAAGTTTCAGTGTCAACACAAATTCCACTTTAAACTTAAGAAAATCAATCACTAAGAAAATAAACTTTAAACTACTGTTATTATCTAAATGTCTTTCCAAAAATGTAAAAACAGTATTGGCTAAGTGGCACATTATTAGCTTATAACATTACTATGATTTTAAAGAAGGAATACACTAAAGTCACAACTAATGACGGAATGAAAGACGCAAACAAGAATTTAGAGGGTTCCGCACAGTGCATTATAATAGAATTATATTCCATGATATTTGAAAATAATAAATATATCCTATGGAATGTTTTTATGAAGATAGCTCATAGATAAGTTAATCGTATGTAGCTTAGAAGACTAAGGAATAACATAAAACCAAAAACTGAACCACAGGTTTAAAGTAACTGGACACTAACCTTTCCAAAGATGGTATGCTTATTGTTAAGTTCATCTGCTCTACCCAGTGTAAAGAAAAACTGGCTGCCATTATCATGAGAACCAGCATTTGCCATGGCAACCAGTCCTCTCCGATTAAAACGCAACCGTGAATGAAATTCATCCTGAAACGTTAAAAAGATTTAGTGAATGTCCTCAGTTATAAGACCTTTCATACGAAGCTATTGAACTTGACCTGCAAGGTCCCATACAACTTCTAATAAAAAATGCAGACATTTTACTTAATTGATTTTTCAAGTACCTACTATTCTTTCAATGTTATTAAACTTGAATTCACTAGACTATATCTTCTAAATATACTTAGACAGAAATATACCCTATTTTGTAGAAAGCTGCTTAATTAAACTTAAAGTAAGAGTACCTAAGGGGGAATGGATTTCTAAGTAATTTCCCTATTCTCATCCCCAAAGTCAGCTAAGCTTTTGAAATCTTCTATTATTTCTTCCAGTAAACTACCTTTGAGCCATTGCAGAGTCTTCGATTATTACTCCTTCCCATCTCACTCTAAATGTCATTAAACAATTGCTCTTTTCTTGTTTTTTAATTCAAATAATCTACTATGATTGTGTTATATACTTTTACCATGTCTTTTTAAAGTCCTAAGTTGAATCTTCTCTGAAATGGCACTGATTCTATTTGCCAGTTTTCAAAAGAGCAGGAACAAGCCTTTCTAAAGTGGTTTTCTCACTATGATAGAGCTACTTAACAAATATATTAGTCTCTTAGTTAACAGAATTTCCATCCAACCTGATACTGAACTCATTTATAAATGTAGCCATGTTATATAATAAATGCTTTTCACAAAGGAAGATATTTTTCCTTAATAAATAATTCTCAAGAGATCTGAACTCAATCATAACTCTGTAATCAAAATGACCTAATTGAAAAATATAACAAAATAACTGTATTACTTGAAAATAATGAAACAAATATCTCAAGTTAGGAAGGAATTGTCAAAAAGACACTAAATAAAAGAATAAAAGAAAGCTTCTGACTAGACGGAGTCTCTAAAATCATGAGAAGTCTTACCATGATAAAATGTAAAATAGTCTAAAAGTGACATCTGAAACTTTTAAAATAACTATTCCATATTTCTAAGGCCATTATCATCTGGAAATTAAAGTAAACAGTTCAAATATTTTCTTCAAGAATCACACAATGACTCAGTAAAAGATGAAAGGAAAATGCAGACACTCTATCCCATTAGTATAAAAACAAATTTTCAAAAACTCTCATATTTTAAGCAATATCAATGTTTACTCATTCAAACACAACTTTTAACTTTTACTTGAACCTGCTATTGTTCTTAATATCTTTGCTATCACATTAACACTTGATCATCTTAGATCTATGTCGGCAGTTAAAAAATCACGACCTGTTCTTATCAATGCACCTTTTATGGACAAATTTTGTTTTTTGAGACAGTCCCTCTATTGCCCAGTCTGGAGTGCAGTGGTTAGATCTCGGCTCACGGCAACCTTTGCCTCCTGGGTTCAAGCGATTCTCCTGCCTCAGCCTCCTGAGTAGCTGGGATTACAGGCACGTGCCACCATGCCCGGCTAATTTTTGTATTTTTAGTAAGATGGGGTTTCACCATGTTGGCCAGGCTGGTCTCAAACTCCTGACCTCAAGTGATCCGCCCTGCTCAGCTTCCTGAAGTCCTGCATCCAGTCTGATTTTTATATACTAATGTGCAACCTTTTTTTCCTCTTATGGAACACAATCATTTTCAATTAAGCAATCTCAGCTGACTTGCAAATAACAATAATAACAACAACAATAATAAAAATAGTAATTCAGTCTTACTTTGAATGGTGCTCCATAGATAGACTCTCCACCAGTCCCTGTGCCAGTAGGATCTCCACCTTGGACTATAAAACCAGGCACAACTCTATGAAAAATGGTATTGTCATAATAAGCTGAAAAAAATTAAAAATAATTTATCAATGTCTAAAATTAATCATATCTACAGTTACCAAAATTAATACAGCTAGAGTCAAAAGACTTATTTTCCAGAATGTTAAATAGGCTCCCAAGCCAAAACCTTTTATATCCTCCTTCTTATAAAATTGCTACTTCTCGGCACACATTTCTACAGAAACCATCATTGTTCACTTTTTGTTTTTATTTCTAGGATTCTCTCAAGCTATGGATTTGTTTCAAAATAGAAATTACAGAGTTCTGGTAGGGAGGAGAAGCAATTGTGCCCAGGGGACATTTGTCAATTTCCGGAAATATTTTTGGTTATTACAAATGGGACAAACTAATGATATCTAGTGAGTAGATGTCAGTAGTGAGCAGAGTGAGCAGAGATACTGCTAAACATCCTATAGTGCAAAAGACAGTCCCCATAACAGATAATTGCCGGCCCAAAATGTCAACTGTGTAGAGACTGAGAAACCCCAGCAGAGATGAATATCTTATTTCCTACTGCTTCCACTTTTCCTTATAGGAAATTAATTAATATATAAACCTATAATATGTCAAAATTACTTATTAGTTATCGGTCTAGAACCATCAATACATCCTCCTTAAGAAACTCCGAATAAATAAAACAAATAATAAACACAATACATACTTGAGTCCAATTAGACTCAGTTTGCTAAAAGACTGAAATAAATTGTTTATATTTACATGTAATTCAAAAATATACAATTGAAGTATATAATGTAGAACTCATAAATATACAGAAGAGATCACGTATGATCGCCTATACTATATATTATATGAAACCTAAATCATTAGGGTACTTCATAGAAGAAAAAGAAGTTAACTTGGGTATGGTAGAAGCATGGCAACTTGGTGAGGCAAAGCATAAGGGAAAAATTGAGCAGGAAGCAGGAATTAGAGTTTGCCTGAATAAGAGAATTTATATTAAGAAGTAGCAATATGACCAACATGCATAAGAAAAAATGTTCGATATTATTAGTTATTAGAGAAGTGAAAATCAAAACCACAATCAGATACTACTTCACACCCACTAGAATGGCTAACATCAAAAACCTTGAAAGAGTAAGTGCTGGTAAGGATGTAATGAAATTGGAACCCTTTTACATTGCTGGTGGGAATATAGAATGGTATAAAAAGTTAAACACAGATTAGCATGTGTTCCGGCAATTCTGCTTCTAGGTGTATGTGTGTGTATACAAGTAATATATATGTTTATATACTAATACATAGTTTATAAACGTAAATAGTATATATAGTTCATATATAAACAGTATATATATAATATATAAGTAATTATAACAGTAGTTATGTTATTTTGATATATATTATTACTATATATAATTGTTAATATATATAATACATATATTTATATATATATACAAGTATATATATATAAATATATATTATATATAATATATATAATATATACTATATATATTAACAATATATATCACCATGCACATGATTAGATTTGCTTTTTCCAAACATTATATATATAGTTTATATATATATCCAAAAGAATTGAATGTTTATATATATATATCAATATACATTTTGTTTATTTGTATATGTATACAGAAGAATTGAAAACAAGTAATCAAACACTCATACACAAATGTTCATAGCAGCACTATTCACAAGAGCCAACAGTTGTAAACAATTCAAATGTCTATCAATGGATGAATGGATAAATAAAATGTGATATATACATATGATAGAACATGACTATCATAAAAGGTAATGAAATACCGATACATGCTACAAAATGGATGAACTTCAAGAACATGCTAAGTGAAAGAACCCAAACACAGAGTCACATATTGTCTGACTCCAGTTATAAGAAATATCTAGAATAGATAAATCTGCAGAGATGGAAAATAGACTGGTGGTTCCTGGGGGCTATGGGTGGAGGAGGGGCATATTAGTCTGTTCTCACACTGCTATGAAGAAATACCTGAGATTGGATAATTTATAAAGGAAAGAGGTTTAACTGAGAGTTCCACATTGCTGGGGAGACCTCAGAAAATTTACAATCATGGTGGATGGCAAAGGCAGTTTCTTCACCAGGCAGCAAGATGGAGTGAGTGCAAGCAAAGGAAATGCCAGGTGCTTATAAAACCATCAGATCTCATGAGACTCACTCATCACGAGAACAGTTATGGGAGAAAATGCCCCTATGATCCAATCGCTTCTGCCTGGTACTGGCTTTGAAACATGGGAATTATGGGGATTATAATTCAAGGTAAGATTTGGGTGGGACACAGAGCCAAACCATATCAACAGGAGAATGGAAAATGACTGGGTTAATGGATACAGAGCTTTCTTTTGGGGTAATAAAATGTTTTAGAACTACATAGAGGTGCCAATTGCATAACACAGTGAATGTACTGATCCTGAACTGTACATTTTAAAATAATTAGTTATATGTTATATAAACTTCACCATAGTTAAAAAAAAAAAATCCTTTCAGTGAAGGAAATAAATTATTTTACATCACTGAAATTAGTTCTGTACTTACATTAGGTAACCACAAGAGGAAAACATATGTAGAATATATACGTAACCCTGGAGGAAGTACTGAATAAACAAAAGCTATTAGTTTTGTTGCTGTAAAAACAAACAAAAGCAAGTAACAATAAAGCAGGCTGTGGTTGAGCCCAATTATTGAGTTTGATGGTCATGATTGAATTGCATGCTGAGGGTTACAAAGCAGAAAAATGGAAAGAGCACAGTTCCCTAAAGATTTCAGTGAGCTGCAGACCTAACAGTAGATTTCTTGACATACAGGACAATAAATGTCTTTATTATTTAAATCATTTTGAGTTGAGTCTTCTATTACTTGCAACTGAATACAACTTGAATACAACTCATTCAATGAAAAATATTTATCAAGTATCTACTGAGGGCCAGGCATTTAACTGATATAATTACTGACATAATTTATAAAGTTCCTATTCTAGTGGCTCGCCGATACCCTCATAATTATTTATACATGCAAGGTATAAAAATATGCAATGCATATTTTTAAAAAATGCAATCTGTATTCTAACAACCATATTCAGTACACAGTACAAAAGAAAAAGTAGAAAGAAAAACTAGCTGATTTTACTCAGTCCCTTTTCCCAGTGAAGGGCAGTTAGGCTGTATTTACGAGAGCTCCCTAGTGCAGACAAGTTCCCTCTGGTTCCAAATAGAAACTATAAAAACCAAAAGGTCTACAAGTATCTCTCCTATATTCCTAGGTAACCATTTCAACAGTTACACTAACACTGTATGTAGCAGTCAGGAGTTTCAGTCTTACTTTTTTCTAGCTGTACAACCATAAACTCCATTTTCTCATAAAACTAATAACATAAATTAAGGCACTGTGTCAATCTGAAGATTAAATAATGTAAAAGCAAACTACACATTTTCAAGTTCAACACAAATATGAGGTCAAACTAATATCTTCACTCAAATGCTACAAATTCATATTCAAATTTGAATATAAAATATACCCCTGTGTATTTGATATAATGAATATTGCTTTAGACCCATAAGAAGCAGTCAACCAACACTTTTTGAGCACTGTGCACATGATCAGATTTGCCTTTTCAAAACATCATATACCCAGGGTGAATATATTAGAAAGAGACATGACTGGAGAGGGATGGGGAGAAAGAGAGAGAAAGAGAGAGAGAGAGAGAGAGCGCAAGTGCATGCAGCGGAAAGCCGGTGAGAGAATGCAAGCAAGCAAATTATTGTCTCGAGAATCAAAACAGAACTATGGCTTATCTTACGACACACAGATTTAGGAACTACTTATGAAGCAAGATCCATAAGACCCAGATATATGTTACCTGTGAGGGAAAAAGGACATGAAAGAGGTCTTTATTACTTGTGTTTTCAAATTATAATTAGAATTTGAAATTATAATTAGAATTATACCATTTTATTTCTCCTATTTCCCATTAAGTCTTTGAGTGATGCTGGCTTTTTAAGGTTTTCTTTATAATTTTTCTAGTTAAATTCCTGGAGAATGAAAGAAATTATTATAATACTATATATGAATGAGTAAACATTTTCTATACTGTCTACACTATAACTTTGTATTTTAGACGTAATTTCCAATATCCACAAATCTTCCATATCTACTATTTCTACTTCTTTGTAGTTTATTAATAATCACTATTGAACTATGCATTTATAGTTATCTTTATAATACCTTATAAAATATTTTGCTGCTTGCAGTAATGTTTATTTGATTTTCTTAAATTTTTATGTATCATCCCCACAAGTATTTTGAAAAGCTTTATTATTTCATTATTCATGTTCATAGTATTCTCCTGAATGTTCTCCACTGCTGAAAAAATATGTTTAAATGTATCTTAAATATGAAACAAAATTCCTATTTGATTGCTGTCATTCTAGTATTTATCACATAGTTTTTATTTCTGGCTACAATAACATGGGCATTATCATGTATTTTGACAAATTATATTTGTCGCCCAAATTCATAGAGGAATTTGTATTTGCATTTTAAAGTAAAGTAGTTACATGTTTCTTCTTCTAGAATTCTGTTTTGTATTTAACTGTGTAAATATTATCATTAATAACTTTTTATCTTCACTGTCACATTATATCCAGATGTTTTCTGCTTGTCTAATACTCATCTTGTGATCAGTCTGTGCTATTTACTTTAGTTAGTTATTTTTTTTAACAAATATTTTAGTTTTGTTAAGATATTTCTTTTAACTTGTAGCATATTTGTACTTATATTTGTCACTCTAAAGAATTAGTAAACTATCATTAAAGAATAAAAGATAACTGATGAAGTAGGGACCCTGATGAGACAAGGATGATATAAAATAAAGGTGAAGGGATAAATAGTTACAAGATGTATTTTAAACATTTTGATTTTCTTATATACTTCTCCCTCTGCTCCCCACTTGTCTATAAAACAAACATAAAATTGTAGTCTTTCCTCATACTGGAGAAACTAATGAAATTATCAAAGCTAATAAGCTTCCCTTTCCTTCCTTTATATCTTTTTTGCCCTATTTTTTAATTGATAATTTTTTTAAAGTTCCACTTATTTTAAATGTCCACCTAACTATGCTGCAAAGACCTAAAACCTACCATTAAGTCTGTATAATGCAGATCTTTTGGTTTTGTAAAGGCTGTAAACCCTCCTTTGGCTGTGAACATCATTTTAGTTGAGGGCCATATCTGAGACTGCACTCCTACTTGTTCATGTTTTTATTCATCTGCTTTTAAATTCTGGAAACCATGCTTTAAAAAAATTGGTAAGAGTGTTTAAAGATCTAGAAACATTATGACTTGTCTAAATCATAGAAGCAAATAACTAAAAAGAGGTTTTCTGAATTATATTTTTGAAACCTTGACTTATTTAGGAGTATCATTGTTTAAATCAGTCTTCTTAGGTTTCATGTTAGCTTTCCAATAATAATTCTATCTCTATTAGATTAAGAGAATTGGTGAATTTGATTAAGAGAATTGCTCTGGTTATTAAAAAATTTTTTTTTCTATTCTTTCTTCTTTCTCCTTGCATTATTATAAATAGTGGAGTAATTGTTATAATAACTGAGTTTGATCATCACCCAATTTAAGAACCTCATTTCTTCTTCAATGTCACATTGTATCCAGATGTTTTCTGCTTCTTCCATTTGCCTGGTCACGGACTGCAATTTACCATTCATTCTTTCTAATGTTTTTCTAATTTCACTCTCCTTCTGTAAAATTTGAGCTTTTGATTGTTCAAAACTTCTTACCAGAAACAAGTCTGACTTTTCCATGTCTCCTGTGTTTCTCAACTTGGTTAGCAGATATTTGAGGCCCCCTGACTGAACTACCTGCCTGACTCTTATTTCCTTCCTGCCTGCCATAGCAATTATTAATAATGGTCTTTGCAGATGTCCTTTCATTCTCTCTCTCTCTCTCTCGCTCTCTCTCTTTCTCTCTCTCTCTCTCTCTTTCTCTTTCCCTCTCTCTCTCTCCTCCCCTCCCCTCTTTTTTGGGGGGATAGTGTCTAGATATTTTCTATTTCTTAAATCTTCACCTGGTAATGATCTGTTTGTCTAACTATCTAGAGAGCTCTTATCATACCATACTACTGGATTCTCCTTCATACCTTGCTTCTGACCCAAAATGCTATTTTCTGATACTTTGAATAACACTGTCTCTAAAAATAAAATATAAATTTGAAAGACAATGATTTGCCACCACTGGAGGTATTCCAAACCATATGAAATGTATTCCAGAAGCCAACAAGAAGCTCTAAAAATGGAAGGTTTTTAGAACCTCCCTAAGAGAATATTCTGAAGGGAAAAACACGTAAGTGGATGTATAATTCTGCAACATTTTTTTAAAAAGAAAAAAGTTACTTTATGACTCAAATCTAAAACTAGAGACATTGATAATAACATCATTGGATGCTATCTGGAAGGCTGTGTGGAGAAAGTAGAATTTTGACAGACATTTAAAAATGGGTAGACTAAAATAGTAAAAAAGGGAAGAAAAAGCATACCAAAAAAAAAAGGGAACTAGTATGAGGATATGTGTGAAAATGGAAGTGGAAAGGAAATGCTTAGGAAACAATGTCCAACTAAAACCATGTGGTTAGTGCAAGGAGATAGAAAGTTGGATAGTTAGGAAGCCAAGCTGCCTGAGTATTCAAATTCTATATGAGCAGGTAAGAGGGAAAAGAAATTAAAGATGAAAGACAGGAAGGGAAGCAGGCAAGAGGCAATTACAGTCTTATAGGTGAAAGGCAGATTGGGGAAGAAACTGGTCAATTTGGTTTTATACTGGTTTTGTTATAGCTAACAGAGGAAGGCTCCAGTTGAAAAGTCTACTAGGAAATTACATATGTAAATTAGTACCAGGAGGAAAAGAAATGACTGAAGTTCTAAATTTGGTAGTCATTTGGATTGAAGTAACAACTAGAGAGTGATGACAATAGAGAACAAGAGGCAATCTTAGGGAATATCCAAATTTAGAGAAAGAAAGAAAGAAGTGTAAGACAGCAAAGAAGACCAAAGAGGATCACAGTGTTATTTGTTGAGATACATTTCTCTGTTAAAAGTATTCAGATTCATTTTGGATAAAGTTTTTATCCCTTATCTTTACTTCCTGACACCCAGCTCAATAGCATATCCTCATAGCAACACTTGTCACTCATGACCACTATTTAACACTAGTCTTCAATGTTGTGAAGAAGACATTGCAGTTTATTTTTAAATTAAAAATTTCTCCAACAGAATAAAAGTCAAAAGTTATAATTACCTTCCAAACAAAGCTGTATAAAATTTCTGCAAGCTTTAGGAGCTTCTTTTGACCACAACTCTATGTCAATATCTCCAGCTGTAGTTTTCAGTAAAACCTGTAGAAAGAATATTATATTTTATTTAATTATCATTTTGCTTAATAATCAGTTGAGTAACTATTTGATTTGTAGCAATCACTAGTGAGTTTTTAATTTTAAAAGAAATATTAAAAATTGTGTTTGGCTTTTGCTGATATACTCAACAAAATGTCAAATATTCACTAAAACTTATTGTACATTTAAATCTTTCAAAATACCATTTCAGAAAAAGTTTAGGATTTAAGAAAAATAGCACATATCTTTTTTAATCACAGAAAAAAACTTCATTCGTTTAAAAAAACAGTAACACCGAAAGTGGGAAGTTTACTTGAGCCTATGAGTTCAAGAACAGCTTGGGCAACACAGAGACTCTGTCCCAAAAAAAATTTTTTTAATTGGCCAGGCATGGTGGTGTTCCATGCTATTTGGGAGGCTAAGGTGGGAGGATCTTGAGCCAAGGAATTTGAAGTAATAGTGAGTGATGATCATGCCAGTATATTCAGGCCTGGATGGCAGAGCAAGTCCCTGTCTCAGAATAAAACAAAGCAAAATAAGACAAACCCCCAATAATGCAAATTTGTTATAATTGAGTTTCCCATTGCATCAGTTCCAATAAAACTGTGTAGCCAGTTAAGAAAGTAAAGAACAATGAACCCATTAAGTTGTGACATTATAAGACAATTTTGTAATTACCCTTTTTAATTACTTTTATTCTCTCTGCTCATTTAACATAATGCTATTCCTAATTTACAAAAGAACATTCTAATCAATTCTAGTTTGTGATTTACTAAAATATCGTATCTTAAAATCACCATCTTTAGTGGAACCAGAAACTTTGCAACAACTAGAACCCCTCCCTGCTGGGCCCACAGGAAACAGTTTATAACTGTCTTATTTATAACCACAAGTAACCAAAAAGAATGTTAGGCTCTAAATTTGAACATTGTGGCTAGCTGGAAAACAATTTCTCCAGTGTTACTTTTTCTTTTTTCTCCCGCACTATACCAAAGTAGATCAGTGTCACTAATTTGTGACCACCACAATCTTTTAGAATGTTCTTGCAACTAAAGAGTATGCAATGTAACTACTGAAAAACATGAGACTGATTCTCATGGGAAGTCAGTATCATCTATATTAAGTCACATATTTTATTTTCCAAAACTCTTTTACCTAATTTACACAAATATACTTTTGTTTTGGAAGTGGAGGAAGCTTTAAAATCATTCAATCTGCCTTTTACGGATGCCCCAAAGAAACCGTGAATTACTTGAGTTAGAAAGCAAATAAAGTTAAATTGCTTATTAATAGCAAAGCAAGAAATAGCATTTCAACCTCCTCCGTCCCAGTCCAGTGCTTTTGTGCTACAACTGCCTTCTCACTTCTGTTTCAGAAGCCAAGATAATGCTGCCATACATTTATATAATATGTAAAATTGATAAATCCATTGTCTCTTTGGGGGCTTTTATAGGCTACATAGTTTTCCTACAACTACTCTTCAGTGACCGTGGGGGTAAGGCAGGTGAAAATATGTACATTGTGGTATATGTTTAAATGGTTCTCTTAACCATTAAAGAAATATAAAAGACTTGGAAATGCACAATTAGAATCAGTGCATGGTTTTCTCAATCCATTACAATCTTTCTGTTTGGTAGAAAGTCCCACCATCTTTCCCCCAGGTTTCTTGCCCCCACCCTCCCCCCAGGCTTCCTGCTGCCCTGAGAAAAGCCCGCCAAGCCTGCTCTGTTCTGCCCAGCAACAACAAGCAGCCAATCATCGCAGCAGGAAAGTCCGCCAAGCCTCGGCCTATCCTGAACCGACAGGTAACCCTCTGAGCCACCTCAGCAGTCTGCCCAGAGACGGACAGCCTATCCTAAGCTCCTAGGACACTCCGCCAGCCCTGTGTCCACGCCCTGTCCACGCCCCTATAAAACCCTCCTACCCCAGCTGCGCAGTCGCAGCCAGCCCCCGATCTCCTTCCTTTCCTGGCCTGCCCGCTGGTCCCAATAAACCTGAACTCGGCTCCCAACTCTCGAGCTGTTATTTGGGGTCGGGTACCGGGCAGGGGTCTACAAGGGGGTCGCACACTTTCTACCAATAAAAAGGGAACATTTGTTGAATGCCTTCCATGTGTCAGTTTTTGTGCCAGACACTTTACAGATCTTAACCCATTTAATCTTCACGTACAAGATAGCTATCATTACTCCCACTTTGCTTATGAAGAAACAGAGACTCAGAAAAAGTAATTTTATCCAAGGTCCGCAGTGAAAAACTTGAGCCAAAGACTAGCTACAAAGCCTATGCTTTTTCTTTATCATCAGATTACCTCCACAAAGTTCTCCATATATTCCATACTATACTGAAAACATAGTCCAGCAAGTTCTAGGGCCCTAGGGTCTCAAAATAATCCCCAAGTTGCCCCAGTGACAACTGATTTGAACAGAGAACAATGTCTAAGTCAAAAGTAATCATATATTAGCTGAACATAAACAAGGCCTTCCAACTTGCGTTGGCATGAAACTGCCCAAAAGAGATACTCCATACTGGATGGTGACAAAGCAACCCAACTTGATTCTCACTCTCCTGGGAAGTATACATTTGGGATACACACTGAGAAAATGGATAACTGCCTCCTTCTACTTCAGAATGTATCTGGAATACCATTATGCAACATGTTCTGATTTTCCATAAGGCTTGATGTGATACACATCCCAATCTTAAAAGTATAGCATACCTGAAAAAACAATGTCCTGTCCTGTCCTACCTCATTATCCCCTTGTATACTTGAAATAAAGCACTGTTGTTAAAAGGAATCTAGATTTGTGTTCTTAATTGCAACCCCAAAGCAATGATCTCTAAACTCAAACTTTTTGTAAATGAAAACAAAAGCAAAGAGCGGGTGGAGTGGAGAGGGAATGGATCACACATCCACAAATATATTTATTTAAATACTTGTAATAGGATATTGCTTTAGTATTATAAAAGAGTCACAAAACATAGTTTAAATTAGATTAAAATTGTATTTTAAAATAATTCTTATTTTAATTTTATTAATGGTACAATGAACTTTTTTTATAACAGCTTCATTGAGACATAATCCACATACCAAACGTTTCACCCTTTTACGGTGTATAATACAGTAGTTTTTAGTATATTCATCACATTGTACAGCTACTACCACTATCTAATTCCAAAACATTTCACCACCCCAAAAAGAAACCCTGTACCAATTAGCAGTCGCTCCCCATTTACCCCTACTCCTACTCTCTGACAACCACAAATCTACTTTCTGTCTGTATAGATTTGCCTATTAAACATTTCACATAAATTGAATCATACAGTATGTGGCCTTTTGTGTCCGGCTTCTTTTACTTAGCACAATGCTGCTTTCAAATTACATAGGATTCTTTCAGTTCTACACACCTACTTTTTAAATGTCTTGAAAATCACAATGGCTTTATACTCTTACTGGTAAATATTTCAAGACACAATATATATTTAAGACAAAATTCACCATTAAAAATAATAAACAGAAATCTATATTTACAATGGTTGTCATAATAATTTGTTTTTTGACAGACTTCCCATGTGGAGGTATCAGCTCTATCACGTTTTTATGGTTTGCTTGTTTATATTATTATCTTCAATAATAAATTTGTGAGGGCTGGTTTAGTTAATCTAAATACTATGGTCTATAAATCTATTTAGCTAGTCATTATGAAAAATTGTATCACTTAGCCAAAAAAGTGACTGAACAAGTGAACTTACATCACTTTTTTTTTTTTTTTGAGATGTTGTCTTGCCCTGTTGCCCAGTCTGGAGTGCAATGGCACAATCTCAGCTCACTGCAACCCCTGCCTCCCGGGTTCAAGCGATTCTCCTGACTCAGCCTCCTGAGTAGCTGGGATTTTAAGTGTGCCACCATGCCCAGCTAATTTTTTGTATTGTTAGGCATTTCACCATGTTGGCCAGGCTGGTCTCAAACTCCTGACTTTGTGATCCACTCACTTCAGCCTTTCAAAGTGCTTGGATTACAGGCATGAGCCACCACGTCAAGCCATTTTATTTTTTTTTTGAGATGGAGTCTTGCTATGTCACCCAGGCTGGAGTACAGTGGCACGATCTTGGCTCATTGCAACCTCCACCTCCCTGGTTCAGGAAATTCCCCTGCCTCAGCCTCCCAAGTAGCTGGGATTACAGGCACATGCCACCATGCCCAGCTAATTATTTTGTATTTTTTTTAGTAGAGAAAGGGTTTCACCATGTTGACCAGACTATCTTGAACTCTTAACCTCAGGCAATCCTCCCACCTCAACCACCTAAAGTGTTGTGATTACAGGCGTGAGTCACCATGTCCGGCTGTCATCTTTTTATATATATAAGATAATGCATTTAAACAAAGGAAAAAAATACAAATATATATAGATTTTCTCCCCATAGCTCATGGATGGTTTTGCACACCACCTGAAGTATGCACTCACTGGTTTAGAAACCACTGCTCTAAAGAACACACTAATTCACATCATTCCTCCCTCAACAGGCTCTGGAATCAGGATGCCCAAATTCAAATACTGGCCCTTCCACTTACTATCTTGTTACCTTGTGCACACTATCTAACATCTGTCACTTAATTTCCTAATCTAAAAACAGGGATAATAGTATTTTTTAGGATTTCTGTGAGGACAAAATGAGCTGTAATACATAAGACTGCTTAGAACAGTACATGACAAATAATAAGTGCTCAAAAAATGTCATTATTATTCTCATGAAAGAGGTTTTTGGGCCACAGGCAACTTACACCTGGTAAAAAGAATGCATATATAAATGAGCCACCTTGCTCACCAGGGTTTCTTAATCTTTTCTTTAATAAGCTATTGAATTAGTAAAGAAGGTATATGGCTCCTTCCTCCTCTGGCCATACATTCTCTTTGGCCATCACTACTTTGTCAGGCCTCCTTGGCTCTTTCTCTTAAAGTTCCCAATTAATTCTTAGATAATATCATGTTTCTTATAAATACATA